ACTTAAGTAGGGCTTAAGTGATCGAGGATGGTATGTCAGGGTGGCCGAGTGGTTAAGGCAGCCGACTTCTCGTCTGCTTCCCTATGGGATCGTGGGTTCGAATCCCACCCCTGACATTTTGTGCGCACCGCGTGTGCGAGACAGCTGCGAGTGTAATGTATAGCGCGTGTAAAGATCATCTCGAGAGGTATGTATTTTTTTTTTAAATGTTTTCTTTGGAGAGTAGTCTTTGCTTTGTGCTTGCTGCCTGATGTCTTTTCCACAGGTGAAACGGGAAAGTTGGAGTGAGGAACGAACGGGCATCGAACCCGCGCCATCCGCATGGAACCGAAGGCCTCAGCCCGCGCGGCCGGCGCGCCACACTGGGAGGCCGTGCGCTCGAGAGGACTGGAGCCGGGCGGTGGGGCTGGCGCCGTCTGTAGCTACCCCTTCCACCCGCCCCGCGTCTGTCTATCCGCCGCCGCCGGACCCCAAGTGATGATCGGTAAGTGTCCCGAACACACCCTCGCTGAAAATGGTCGCGTATCCTGATTGGTCGGCTGGAACCTTTGGTTTCGGAACGCGCCCTTCCCGCGTCGTGCCCGGCACGGCCGTGCGTTGCGCTTCATTACCTGTCCTGCGCTCAACATCGTTTGACCATCCCTTGCCTTGTTCCGCCATGGGTGACGACTTTTCTTTTTACATCGAGGGCGAGGAGGATTTCCTGGAGCTCACATCACTTTACGTGAGTACCTAAAATGTTTGGAGGGGTGTGAGAGGGGAAAAAAACCCAGTGATTTTCGTTTCTCTATTGAGTTCAAGTGTTAGGTTAGCGTCTTGTGCAAACGTTATTTGAGGTTAGCGTCGTGTGTGTCCGTGAACCTAAAATGTTTGGAGGGGTGTGAGAGGGGAAAAAAAACCCAGTGATTTTCGTTTCTCTATTGAGTTCAAGTGTTAGGTTAGCGTCTTGTGCAAACGTTATTTGAGGTTAGCGTCGTGTGTGTCCGTGAATCATCCATGTGCTCAGTGAATCGATTTAGTTTTTCAAAATATGTGATCGCTTTGCATCCGTGGCGCGCGGGGTGTGCCTCTGTCCTTGTCGCACTCGTGGGAATCATCCGACTTTGCTGTGATAGTCGCGCTGGCCATGTGCTTTTAAAATCGTGGGGCAGTTCATTTTCTCGTGTGCATGTGTCTCTCTGTGTGTTCCGTTCAAACCGTGTGTTCAAAAAGTATCGTTTGGAGCCGGTGTTGTGTTTCGCGCCACCGCCGGTGCCGCCACTATAGTACTAGGGCCTCACCAAAAGATACTGCAAATTGTGATACCAGCAAGCCACTTTGCACACTTGTTCCTAACATCCAAATGGTCGATTTGGCCCGTAGCACCTATCTGAATTTTGCTGCGGGGGTAGGTTTTTCGGGGGTAGTATTTAAAAACTACCCCCAAAAGTCGACGCCGCCAAAATTGACCCCCAGGCATCACCCGAGGGTCGATTCCGGCTAAAATGGACCCAAGGAACTCAAAAATGACAACAAGACTCATCGCCGATCAAAACTGGTACTGATTTTGGGCCATTT